CCCCAAAACCCCAAAACCCCAAAACCCCTTGAAATCTATTCAATGAAAAAGTCATGAAATTAAGATTAATGTATTTACATCTATTTCTCTATATCTGACCTGCTTCTGCGACATTACTAGGAATATCAGAGGCCTTTGTACTCAGCTAATGTAGTTTCGCAAGTTAAAAACATCTCATTAAATTTATCTGCATTTACTCCAAACTTTTCATAATGATGCAGGAATGCTTTTTCATGGAACATCATTGTGGCTTTCCTAAGAGTACTTTCAAGAATCTAGCAATGACTTTGATTATTACTAAGCACACCAATGCTCTTCTCATGTCCATGGATTCTATGAGAATCCCTGAAGTATGCGTATTTATTATCAACACTACCACCATATTTCTTAGTGTAGAGAGAGCCAATGCCAAAATAGTCAGACTCAAATGAACCTGGTAGATCAAAAACTTTGTCCCCTCTAATTACCATTAAGTGAGATAGTGATTTTATAAACTTGGTTGAATATGTTGAGGGGTTCTCTGCTTTTATTGACCAGTTGATTTTGTGCTCGTTGCCATTAGTAATAATCATCTATCTTATTCTCTGGATCATTCCCTCCCATAAGTCGGTGTTGAACTCTATAGTCTTGTTATCGCACTATGGAATATTCTTCAAGCTTAATAGTTTGAACTGTGGATATATGCACAGTTATCGAACTATTTCAGAGAGAATATTAGAATTTGAACCTGACCAGAGCGACATTTTATCTTTAGTTGAATTTGAGAATGGAAACATGACACTTAATAGTTATTAAGCAATGACAGTGTTCATTACTTTATAAGATGGCCTTTTATTTTTTAGAAGTTCCCTGCAAACAAACATAATCTCATCGTTATAGATAGGAATAACCCCGTCAGAATCTTGAATCAAACTGTTAAGAGTTAGAAGCACATTATAGTTTTACAATATAACCTCTCCACTTTAATAAGGCCACACTGCAACATTCATCATATTACTTTTTGAGAAATCTTCTCTTAGTCTCTCGACTATATGTGCACCCAGTCCAGATCCAGTACCACCAGCCAGAGAAGAGAAAACTTAAAATCCACCAAAGTAGTCCAAACTTTCTAGCAAAGACTATATCCTAGAATGAGTCTCCTCATATTCCTCTTGAGAATAATAGAGGTATCCCAAAGCCCAGTTATTTCCACTTCCACTTTGCTTGTGATAGCTATACTTTTTATCGTACTACCACAGACTTTCTCCATTAGAATGACTCTTAGCTGAATCTAGAAGACACTTCTGTACTACTTTAGGCTCCATATCCACCAAAATAGCATTAGGAACTAGCTTATTGTTTTCAAAATCCCTCTAAAAGTAGGTCTCCACTATCCTTTCTTGCAATATTGGTGAGCAGTCCTTATAGTCCTTCATCATAGTCTCAAAGAATGAGTATCCGATTTAATTGCCGCACTAGCCAACTTAAATTGTAACAATTGACATCCTGACTATATAATTTAAATTTATAATTTTAAATTAAAATATTAAAAATTATGCCTAAAACTAAAAAGGGTATTCTGATCGAAACAGATAAAGCCACAAAAATATACTTACTCACATTCAAGGACAAAGAGAACTTCATTATCAAGGACTTAGATGACAATTCACTTTTCATTGAAGAGGCTAAGCTTGATTGGGTGAAGGAAAAAGTGCTTGAATTCAAAAATAAGTACTCTTATGAAAAACCTCAAGTTGGCAATCAAAAGTGAGTCAAAATCAGTTGGCTTGATTACTTATATAATTAATCATAATACTTATTCATCAGATTAATTCATGATAATTTCATTGGGGTTTTGGGGTTTTGGGGTTTTGGGGTTTTGGGGTTTTGGGG